CGTCTGTCCCTGAAGGCAGCCCGATGCCCGACGCTGTTCATTGGTTAAACTGATGTCGGTCCTGCTTGATCCAAAACACATCAATGGCTTTAGAGTTACACCGTCAGGAGTTTTGCAGGTATTTCCAACATTTTACCGCTCAGCAGTAACCGCTGTTACCTTCCTAATGAGAGGCGGCTCTTGTCATACATTTCTAAAAAGAAACAAAATGGTTGTGTACCGCTGCATAGTGCCTGGTTTATTATATTAGCCATGCTAGTGCTAATAGATCGTGTTTTAGACAGATTCTTTTAACATATGTTTTAGTGACATGCTGCCCTCTAATGTTTTATTTCTCCCAGCTCTTGCTTGAAATGTGGTAAGAATATGAGAAAAAAACCATTAAGTTTTATAATGACTGAAATGTAAGTAGGCTATGTCATATGAAAGCTTTGAATTATAACCTCACTAGTTATAATTAATTTTGAACAAAAGGAAACTAATATTTTTTCCTTTCGTTCCATGGAACGGTCCATTTGTATATGGACCCTCTGATAAAGCCTTGCTCACCCTTTGGCCCCCCCTTGAAAAAAAGTCTAGCGCCGCCACTGGTTCCACTCAGATTTAGTCTCTGTTCTGTCTGTCACGACCAGTAGCTGTTAGCGACCAGTAGCTGTTAGCGACCAGTAGCTGTTAGCGACCAGTAGCTGTTAGCGACCAGCAGCTCTGCTGGCGGATGTACTACGGAGCAGAAAGCTAACGTTGTTGTTCCCTCTACATACTGTGGGTGGCGCAAGTTGCTACAATCAATAGTAGCCACCCAGGCTCACCTGATATAAGGAAACAAACGCACCCAGTACAACACTTGAATTCTATTGGCTAAGAGGTTGCTAGGCGACTGCCAAAAATGCAGTTCCACGTTTCGTAAGCGAGCAGACATTAAGTGTGAGCACCAGGAGAAGTTTTGAGTACAAATGTTACAAATTTTAAGAAAGACATGAAGTTCTTTTGGACTGAACATGTGCTCTTGGGTTATGGCAGGAAAATTCCTCCATAGGAGTGATGCCATATTCTATATCTGAAGCTGTGAGTCTTCCTTGGCCAGCCAATCACAAGGCAGATATGAAACATGAACTCCTGGTTGATTGGTTGTAGAATGTAACACCAGCACAACCGTCCACTTCACAGACCAATCCATCAGTTGTTGTTTGCAGGGAGATTTTCATGCAGCAGGTGGAGCACTGAGTGAGTTTGAGAGGTCATGACCCCTGTGGACTGTGATGTCACTGCGTACCTGCTGAAGGATCAGCCTGAACATTAAACTGGAAGGAGGCGACTGAGACGCGGTCAGCTCTGATTCCTGAGAAATGATCCTGACTGCGGTCAGAAAACTGTTGTTGCTGAACATGTGACCGTTGAACTGGTGAGCTCCCAGTGAACTGAACCACTAGAGGTGAAACTGAGGTTTTTACTCTCCAACAATGTTTTTATTTCTCAGATTCTGAAAACTCAGCTGATCATTTTTGATAAATAACATAAACATGAAACTAAGTTTGGTGGTTCATACTTCATTCAAAGGTGACTTCTCAGTTGATCATGGACCCTCTGTGTTTTGCACCAGGTTGTCTCTGCTGATAAGTTTCCTTCTTTTGTTGCCTATAAATGAATATGGCAGAGAAATTGTCTCTGAAAAGCAATTCCTCAGGCGTCACAACAATTTTTGCCCTCATATTTCACATCAATGTTCCCTCTAATTGTTCATGTGTCTGGGCGTACACACAAGCTTCCTGGGCACACTGAGGACCACTGTGAGCATCATCAGTGTACACGGCGTGGCCACTGAGGACCACTGTGAGCATCATCAGTGTACACGGCGTGGCCACTGAGGACCACTGAGCATCATCAGTGTACACGGCGTGGCCACGCACAAGTATCATAAATCTGGGATCATAGAAAGTGCATGGCTTATTAAAAAATCAAATTACATCAGCAATTTTCATTCGTTTGCTTTTAATTTAAGTGATTTGCTCAATTAAAATAAAAAAAAGAAAAGAAAACATTGCTGTTCATGAGATGCATGCTATAAGTAAGAGTCCTGCTTCAGCCAGGGTGAGAAATGAGACATTACACCTTTCAGACATAAATGTTTGTTCATATTAAAACATTCACATTTTGCACAATGAAATGTTTTCTGTAGCTTGTGATGCAGTATAAATTCTTGTAAAATATTTAATTACAGTTTTTTTCACGTCTGCCCTTCTCACTTCTCCAGTGGTTGTTCACTTAGCCCAGGTTGATGGTCAGTCTGCTTCTTGCTTTATGTTCTTGAATTCAGCATATTGACTGTTAATGGCCTCCATAATCTGTGGGTGGAGGAGAATGGCCTCATACTTCTTTGCCAGTGTACAAATAGTCAAATTTGTACACTGGTAATCCATAGTATCCATTGTCAAAAATCTGAACTCAACATTTCAATATCAAATGCAGACCATTCCTTTCATTTGATTTGATTCCATTTGATCTTAGAAGAAGTGCATTTCTTTTTTTTTACTGTGGCTTGGTGAGTGGATGTCCCACTAGACATGATAAGCTGATGGCTTTCACGTTTCTTAACTCTACCGCTCTATTCTCACCTGCACGGCCATATGACCAAGGCACGTAACCCACGTAGCGAAAGTGAACCGTATCGTATCATTGGCTGGATTCCTGTCACTCACTGAGTTCGATCGCAAAGTAGTACGGAAAAAATTTATTGGTCCATAGTCAAAACTGATGTCTGAGCTCAATGTCCACTTTACGTTGGACTTTATTTTATGCGCTACATAGATTTTCTTGTGCGCTGAGAATATGTGAGCAGAGCGCGATTGCGCAGGCGCAGTTTAGAGGGAACATTGTTTCACATCTATTGTAAAAGTAAAGGCAGAGTGGATGTGTCTGCTTTTTCTGGAGATACCGACAGAGAGCTCTGAGCCTTAAGGAAGACTGGTGGCTTGCTTTTATAGACACCTGACCTTTGGGCCAGAGTGAGGAATAGTTTGGTTTCAGCTGGGCGGACGGCATGATGGAATCCATCGCTGAACCGAAGCTTCAGTCGTTTCCCGTTCTGACACCGTGTTAACTTGGGCTTTCATTGGTTTCTTGTTTCCCCTGAGCTAACAGATGTTGGGTAACAGCATCTCTTATTCTGCTGGGACTAATCAGAGCTGGGCAGGACTGGAATGAGCCGTCCTCTATTTAGTAATCATGGAGTTGTCGAATTATTTATCAGAGGTCAACAGTTACACCACAGCAGGAGTTTACAGACGTTCTTTAGTCAGGGTCACAAGGAAATCTGCATTTTCAAATAAACGACTGGTAAAAGTTTCTGTGATCCATCAAGCAGTCGGGTCAGTCAGAGGTCAGTTCGATTAAATCACTTCATTTATCCCCAAGAGGCAAGGTAGCCTCAAAGTAAGACTTCAGTCCCACCAGCAACGAGTCTGCTTTCACCAAACTCCAGTCCGCTTGTCTAGGAAGTCCGGTTGGTGAAATATGAACGCTAATCGACCTCCGACCTCTAGTCCTCCAAACCTCGGTCTGGGTTCACTTTGAACACCAAGCGGACCAGAGAGCGCTCCACAAGCAGGAAGTGGACTACAGCACAGGGCATTCTGGGTAAATACAACCAAAGCTAACATGCTAGCCTAGCGCTAGCAGCAGAAATGGCTCCTGGTCTTCAGCCAAAGACTAAATAGAAATTCTCCATCACTAAACTCTGACGCCTCCATCTTGTTTCATCTGGTGAAACAGGAAGTTGCTCTCAGTGTCTTCAGAGGTTTTGGTGTCGTTTCCTTCTGTGGTTGCTGGTGCAGCGCCCCCACAGGCCAGGAGGGGAACAGGCTGGCTTGAGTCAGAACCACAGCAGCTGGAGGTGGAGCAGATGTTCTGGTTCCAGTAGAACCGGGTCGAGCTGAGCATCAAGTGTTACACACAATGTCTGTGAAACAACAGACAGTAAACTAAAACACAAAGACATTTTCATTTCTCATTTCTGGTTTTCTCCACTCTGCTGACCTGCAGTCAAGCTGCAGCAGCTGACCCCGAGCTCTGCAGCTGACCCCGAGCTCTGCAGCTGACCCCGAGCTCTGCAGCTGACCCCGAGCTCTGCAGCTGACCCCGAGCTCTGCAGCTGACCCCGAGCTCTGCAGCTGACCCAAATACAGTGAGGTGGAGTTCTACACTCAGCAGAGAGTTAAAGAGCAGAAACCCCTCAGAGGTTCTGCCCGGCTCCATGTCTGCAGAGTGTGTGTGTGTGTGTGTAGGCGTGTGTGTGTGTGTAGGTGTGTGTGTGTGTGTGTGTGTAGGCGTGTGTGTGTAGGTGTGTGTGTGTGTGTAGGCGTGTGTGTGTGTGTGTAGGTGTGTGTGTGTGTTCTGGATCTGCATGATGGACACAAATCTACATTATTGGACATTATTTTAAGAAGCAAGCCTCCATAAGCTGTTGGAATGGATCAGGTTCTGCTTCTCATCAAATGCAACTCAAATGAAGGAGCATGTTGACCCGGTTCTGTATGGCCTACAGCTGCTGATGACGAACTGATTAACACAATTTCATTGATCAATTAAAATTTGATTAAAATGCAAATAAATAAAAAGAAGACAGAAAACAAGGAAACAACTTTCCCACCAGTTGGTGTTGAGATTTAATAAGCAGAGAAAGTTTGGAGGAAGGACGAAGGTTCATATCTGCTGCTCAGACACCAGCTGATTGAACTGGGATAAACACAGTGAAGGAACTGGATCATTTCCAGGTCAGGTCTGTCCGCAGACGTCAACTCATTCATTCTTTTTAAATCCAATCAGCTGAACAGATTCAGATAAACTGAATCTGTTCAGCTGATTGTCTTCACCTGCAGAGGATCAAACCTCCGCGATGTTCTGATGGACCCACGAACCGGAAGCTGGCGGTCTCTCTCTCTCTCTCTTCCATAAATCCATCTCTCCTCTCTCTCCTCCTCATCCTCGGCTCTCCGCCTCTCGGGCTGCAGCTCCGGTCTCTGTGGAAGTTGCAGGCGTCTCTCTCTTTCTCTCTTTTTCTCTCTCTCTCTCTTTCTCTCTGACGGCTGGAGGAATTATGAGCAGAGCTCTCCCCGCCTCTGACAGTCTCTCTTGAATCATTCTGTGTTTCCCAACCGAACCGAGCCGAGCAGAGGCGAGTATGGAGACCGGACTCTGCATCCTCCTGACTTTCCTCCTCCAGCTGGTAGGACCAGTGTGTGTGTGTGTGTGTGTGTGTGTGTGTGTGTGTGTGTGTGTGTGTGTGTGGTGTGCGTGTGCGTGTGCGTGTGTGTGTGTAAGAGAGATTTGCTGCTGCGGTTTGTTAAGTTTAGCGACTCTTCCAGCAATAATCACCTGCGGTCCATCGGAACCGAGTCAGAGTTCCGACCGGCTGTCAGCTCTGAAGCCGAGTTTGGGCTGCAGAGTGTCGGCTCGGTGATCCGCGGCTCTCCGCTCACTTTCAAAAAACCTCTCTGTTCACATTTAGTGGACAGACCGGACCGAACTGGGCCGGACACCGAACCGGGGCGCCGGGGGAAGCAGCGCAGGCTGCCCCTCTGTCTGTGTGCAAATCACGGCTCGGCTCTTGTCTCAGCCGCATCTACATTCCGCTCAGCCTCCAACTTGAGCGGCTCTTTGGGTCTGTGTGCGTGTGCGTGCGGTGCGTGCGGAGAGCGGAGGCTGCTCTCTGTTTCTGCTCTCTGGTTTGTCATGAACGCGGCTGCCGGTTCGGTTCGGTTCGGTCCGACCAGCAGCTCCGCCATCAGGCGTTTGGAGGCTGTGGAAGCTGCAGACAGAGGAGTTTCCTCACACTTTGCTCTCATTCATCCTGTTCTCACTAAAACCAGGAAGATAGAGACATAACAGCAGTTTTAAAGTCCCTCCACTGGCTCCCTGTAGCTCAAAGAATAGATTTTAAAATCCTGTTGTTAGTTTATAAATCACTGAACGGTTTAGCACCACAATACATCAAAGATCTGCTGTTGTTGTATCAACCTTCCAGACTCTCAGGTTCTGGTTCTGGTTCTGTTCTGCATCCAGAACCAGAACCAAGAGAGGAGAAGCAGCTTTCAGCATCTATGCACCACAAATCTGGAACAAACTTCCAGAAAACTGTAAACCAGCAGAAACCCTGACTTCCTTTAAATCTCAAGTAAAAACCAGCTGATTAGAGTTTGATTAGAAATGTAATATGGAACAATGTATTGTTGATTCTATGACTTTGTGTTTTTGTGTTTATGATGTAAAGCACTTTGAAATGCCTTGCTGCTGACATGTGCTATACAAATAAAATCTGATTGATTGATTAATTTCCTGAGCAGGGCCGATTCACAGGGGTCAGCGGGGGGCCGAGCCCTCCTGCCCAGCCGTTCACATTAAAATAAAACGATCTAGTGTTTCATATGCGTATGAACGAACGAGGATCATGTCCATGCTGTGACCTCCAGACAGATTTAAAGTGCAGCTAAAGCAAAGGAGCTGGATTAGCAGAGCTGCTCACAGCTGATGATGTCATCATGTTACTGTGAAATCTCTGCTATCTGGATGTTGGGCTGTTAGCATGTTAGCATGAGAGTATTCAGTCAGAGGCCTCTACAGATTGGTTGCAGGACTGACTGCTACTGCCCCCATCACCATCCAGATCATCTGAACTATGACCTCATTTAATGATCCTTTGGGGGTAAACCAAGCGATTTTGAGCTTCTGATGCAGTCCGCACTCTCAGCACGACCTCTGACCTCATCATTTTTACAGACATTTTCCCATAATTCCTCTGGTGTCATATTAGCAGGACGGTATTGTTGCACATGTCTTTCTTGGCAGCAGGTGCTGAAAGCAGAAGCAGCAGCTAATTTTGAAGTGAGTGTCTGTTTTTGAAATGTGGGAGATTCCCTGAAGCGTGGCGGCTAGCAGCTCATTTGGTAAACTCTCTCTCTCCCCGGCTCCTCTCGCTCGGCCGCTTATCCGCAGCGCTGGGAGACGGCAGACGGCTCTGCTGGTCTGGTGCTTGTTGTCTGACCCGTGTAGGTTTGGTGCTGGATTCCTGCTGCGCGTTACTCACTGGAATTGGCTGAGCGTTTTCTGGGTTCATTGTTCAGTCCTGGCCTCTTTGCCATCATGATTCAGGCTAATGGACGAAATTATTTAACTCCTGTTTTACTCCTGTTTTATTGATTACAACCTGTCCTCTTCTGCTCACACGCTTACATGAACACACCCTCACACACACGCAGTGCGCTTTCCATTAAGCAGATTCCTTCATTATTGCGAACGAAGGGAAAGAAACCAGTTAACTGTGAGAAACCTGGTTAGTTTGAAACAGAAATGAATGTTTGTGAAACTGAAACAAAGAGCAGATTGTCTGTCATCCTTGGAAATGCATCCCTGTCACAAATCTCCATCTCTCGGTTGTGTGCATTTAATTCTGCGAACATGGCTGATAAAATAGGGAATCATGTTTCAATCAAAACTGCAGCTTACCAGGTTATTTCCAGTTTTATTGTACACGTTTCTATGCAGCAAGCAAACAGATTTATCCCACTTGACTCATGGTGCACACTTAAATTGCAAATGTGTCATCTCTCCTTGTAGAATCAAGGAGCATCCTATCTTTGCCGTATTTGTGTGGGCTCAAAGCGATTCTCCAGCTGATGGGAAACACGGAGACTTCTGGAGTCTTGATTTCTCTTCCTCTCCAGATCAGGTTTTATCTCAGCACCGGCTGCAGTTTGTGTCACTGCTGAGAGTTTGTGACCAAGTCTGGAAGGTGATTTCCAGTTCTGCAAACGCTGAAAGGATAAACAGATAAACTGCGTTACTTCCTGCCTGCAGACAGATGGAGGATGGGGCCGGCGGAGGACGGAGATGGTGTTGGTCGCTGCAGCCTCAGGAGAGCCAGAGAAACGTTTTGCTGCTGAAGTAAAGACGAAACAAACTCCTGAGTCAAATTATTCAATTAGTGAATGAAGAAGCATTCAAAGAATTACTTTTGGTTTTGTTGTACGATAACAGAATCAACATGTTGGCTCTGGATTCGTTTTAAAAAAGAAACAATTCTTCAGCGATTTCTATAGTGGAAATTCCTGCTGATTGAAATGAAAACGTGAGTCATTTCTAACCGGATCGGAGCTGGTTTCCCCCGTCGGACCAGACTTTCCCTCCAGGTATGAAAACCCGACCCATACCCACTTTCTGATCCAGTTCCAGCCTCTCTGCTGCAGCTGGTAGCGCCACTGCATCCATGTGACCACGCCAGAGCACACTGGGCCAGCAGCCCGACCTCCAGGTTCGGCCCCAGTTCCCTCCAGGTTCGGCCCCAGTTCCCTCCAGGTTCGGCCCCAGTTCCCTCCAGGTTCGGCCCCAGTTCCCTCCAGGTTCACACACATCCATATGTCCAATGTAAGCAACGCTGCTATTTCCTGTGTTCGGTTCTTTAAACTCCATCTTGTAGAAAAGAGGATCTGACTCCGTTTGTCAGGGCGATCTGTTTTCACTCTTTCTTAACTGGAGCAGTTTTTTATTTTCCTGTGTGACCACTGCAGTGTAGCGGTCTGCAAGGTCAGACGCTATCTAAACTCGGCTGAAAGAGGTCGTGACCTTTGAGGAAAACGCTTCTCTTCAATCTTTTCCCCTCCATGGCCGCTGACTCTCTCCAGGGGAGGAGAGCGAAGATGAGGTGTGAAGCTACTGAGAGCTGTAATTAAAGTAAATATGTCCCCTTCGCGCTCCATTAGAATCTGCCTGCGTTTAATGGAAGTGCTCTAATTATACAAAACACCAGTGGACGTTGTGTTTCAATCATGAAATCTGCCAAGAACTGCAGACCGTCTCTGTCCTCTGACTGGATTAACAGCTGAGTGGGGAGCCAAAACCTGACCAGGAGAAACTCTGAGCAGCGAGACGCTAACCGCTAACCACACACACACACACACACACACACACACACACACACACACACACACACACACACACACACACACACACACACACACACAACACACACACACATATACACACACAGTCACACAATCGTCTCTTCCTAGGAAACAATAACAAACTTTACCGAATTGTTCCAAAAATAATTTTGATAAATAATGTGGTTTACCTTCTCAAATACCAAAAGACTTTAATTGTGTAAAGAACACTGGAAGATATCAAAACAAAACCCCAACACCAATTAACAAACGGGAATAAAAAGCACAATAAGCCATCTTTACCGCCGTGAACAGAGCGCTGCTGGAGGACGGCTACTTTCTTCTTCTGCGGGTCGTTTTGGGGCCAGAGACCGCTGACACAGACAATTGACTGCAGTCGAGTTTAATTAGTAGCAGGACCAAGCAGGAACTGAGCCTCCAGGCCTGCAGTGTGAACGTATCGTCTGTACATTCAGGTGTTTTTCACTCCCTCTCCTCTTTTACTTGTCCCTTTCCCCTCCTGTCAGTTGCTGGGCACTGCAGGCCTGACTTCCTGTCTGCAGGCCTGACTTCCTGTCTGCAGGCCTGACTTCCTGTCTGCAGGCATGATTTCCTGACTGCAGGCATGACTTCCTGTCTGCAGGCCTGATTTCCTGTCTGCAGGCCTGACTTCCTGTCTGCAGGCCTGATTTCCTGTCTGCAGGCATGATTTCCTGTCTGCAGGCCTGATTTCCTGTCTGCAGGCCTGACTTCCTGTCTGCAGGCCTGATTTCCTGTCTGCAGGCCTGACTTCCTGTCTGCAGGCCTGACTTCCTGTCTGCAGGCATGATTTCCTGACTGCAGGCCTGACTTCCTGTCTACAGGCCTGACTTCCTGATTCAGATGACTTCTCTCTATCCCATAGTGACGCTGGTGCACCAGGCCGTTCATCCTCCATGATGCTCTGAGCAGCGTTTCAGTGAACGGCTCAGTTGTTTGTGAGGCTGGGAGCAGATCCTCCACTGATCTTCCATTGATCCTCCACTGATCTCCACTGATCTTCCATTGATCCTCCATTGATCCTCCACTGATCCTTAACTGATCCTCCACTGATCTTCCATTGATCCTCCATTGATCCTCCACTGATCTTCCATTGATCCTCCATTGATCCTCCATTGATCCTCCATTGATCCTCCATTGATCCTCCACTGATCCTCCATTGATCCTCCATTGATCCTCCATTGATCCTCCACTGATTTACTGATCCTCCACTGATCCTCCATGATCCTCCATGATCCTCCACTGATCCTCC